GCCCTATCTGATATTCTCTGCAATTCCAAACATCAGATCCAAATGAGTGGAGTGTTGAGGACTACATCCTGTTGCCACCGGCTTCAGCAAGAACTTGTCTAGGCCTTTTATAGTTCACAGTATTTATTTTAGATGGGCCACTGGAGTAAGGGATGTGGGGGTTGCAAGAGGAATTAAACTGTTAAAATGCTCATTCTAAGGGAAAAGGGATTAGAAGGATCCAATTAAATGTACCTTGAATTCTTTAAACCATGCTAATTTGGAGGCCTGCCAACCTTGCAGTGTTCATTTAAACACATCCCTCTAGACCCTGAAGTATTTTGATCCGTGTCTGTTTAACTCCTTAAGCTCTGTGCTGACACTATTAACCCTTCACCATTGAAATCCTAACTGCATCTTGCTAAGGGTGTTTTGGAGGAACACTCAAGGGACATTTACCGGCAGAGAAGATACAAGGCCTAAGGCTTGATCTTCCAAAGCAACCAGTTGACTCAGCAGCCAGAGCTGGGAGTGATCTAACAGCTCACAGAAATGAGCTGGAGCATCTCAGCTCTGTCTCCACAGGACTGGTGAGCTTCCGAGGGCTGAACCCAACAAGGCAGGAGGGCAAGACACTGTTGGAGCAAAGCTGAGTTCAAAGCTGTCAATCTTGCCAAAGCAAAGGCAGCACTACCATATTCTCAACCCAAATAGTCCTGCATATAAACTAGAAGTGCAATTCATGGTGGAATTGAATCACCATCAATAACAACAAGAGAGAGATTTGAAAATACATATTTCATAGGAGGGCTCTGCTGTATTTCCTAACCAGTGCTTAACTCTATTTCTTTTAAAATTGAATAATACAAAGTAAATCACTATCATCAGTTTACAAAACAGCAGTAGTTCTAAACATGCTGATACTGTACAAGTAGGTATTTTACATTCGACAGTAAGTGATTTTAGCAGGACAGCAGACAGGTCCACACTATCATTTGCTCATGAGAATCTGATATGAGTGTTAAGAGCTACTTAAATTTGCCCATAACTATATATCAAATATGCTCCCTATGCTCATTTTTCCTTTTGATTGCAGACAGGGAGTGTCAAGCAAACTCCCTTGAATGACTCTTCTGGGCATGTGTTCTCACTAAATCTTAGTGAGACAAGCCAACTAAATAAAAAGAACAAACAGGAGCAATGAGGAGCTACCAGTTCTAGGCTATGGACAGATAAATGGGTGAGAAGACAGAATAAAGATAGAATTATAAAAGAAACTGAGATAAAAGCTTGGGATAATCAGGAAAAATGCAGTCAAATCGTGTTTCTCGCTTCTGGTCGACTCAGCTCCATCACTGTGAACGAATAATTTACGGAAACACCACAACCAGCTCTGTGTGTGCCAGCATGGGCCCAGCAACAGCCCAGCAGCTTTGTCAAGCAAAACAGCTCTCTGGACCTCCCTGATGGCGAGGTGGGGGTTGGTGACGGGCAGAGGACATGGATGACGATTGGCACCAGTCACTGGCTCTTGGGATTTCTCCTTTGCCATTCATTTCATGTTTGAGGACTAACCTTACATGCACTTTATTGTTATCTGTGTGGTTTTGCCTTATATATGCAACTCCAATCAGCCATTAGCTTAAGTAGCTGCAAGTTGAGCATGTATGTTAGAGTGGATTAGATTATTTTAGAAAAGCCAATAGAAGCCCCAGAAGACTTGAGGATGACTTTTGGTCTCAGCAATATGACAACAGCAAGCAGAAAGGGAATTGCTTTTCAACAGCTTAACAACATTTGCACAGCTGAATCTGTGCAAATTAAAAGATTTTGTTTTGCTTTTCAAATGCAAGGAGAGGGAGTTAAATGATATTTTCCATGTCCATCAACTGCTTATAGTTCAATACTGGCATTCTTTGCCTTTGAGACTAAACCTGGAAAGTAAATAGATTTAACAATTTAATATCTAAATTAGGCAGCAAGACAGAAAAAATGTTTTACTTTTTCCTCAATGAATAGCATACTATACTATTAATCATATGAGACTTTGAAAAGTTTTGCAGAGATTAGTGACAACATGCCAGGCAGACTGCCTTAAAAGGCTCTGATCCACTGAGTCAGCTGTGAAAAAGCCAGGTAAACACTTTGGAAGGGAACTATTGGAGCGTTTATCCTCCCATTACAGCTGATTTACAGTGAGGTGCCTCAGAAGGAATACATATTCCTTCACAGTGCTTATAAAGTGAGGAATCAAGCAAGGTATTTACTCAGCAACAGAATGAACACTCCTCAGAAAAAAGGATTTGGGGACTGTTTGTCTTACAGCTGACAACAATGAGAGTCTCAAAGGTTTCACATACGTAAAGAGAATAGAGAAAAAACGTCATATACTGTTTTCTGTGAAAGAGAAGTGATCTCCTGGCATTTAATTTTTAAAATAAAAAGACAGCTATTTAATTTTTATAAACATTTCTGAAAATGACTTCTATGTTCTAATCAGTTTAAAACACAATTTCCCCTCAGATGGCTTATAGCCCTAAGCCCTACTATTCTGAGATGTTCTTGTGGCACTGATACAATTCAGTGTAAAAGGCAATGCTTGGATCAACTTACCCATTTTCCAAGGGCAGAAGGATGTATGTGACCAAATAACACACAGGAAATAAATTTATATTTCAATGTCTGACAGCTGGTAATGTCAAAAATACAAACATTTTAAAAGGGATAAAGGGTAGGTAAATAACTCTGGAGATGATCAAAACCAAGTAAATTAACATTAAGAGCCAAAGAGTAATTCTTCTGGACATGTCATTATAGGAGTATGGAAAATAAAATATCTTTAACGCAAATAAGGAATTTAATGTCAGGCTTGCATATCAATTCTTGATACATGCAGAATTAAGAAACATGATATAAAGGAAAAATAATCACTTTACCACTCCAAGATGGAAAGGGAAAAAAAAAGAAGCATTTTTCAGCTGACTGATTATGAGAAGTTAAGTAGAATCATAGAATCATAGAATGTTAAGGGTTAGAAGGAACCTTAAAGACCATCCAGTCCCAAACCCCCCTGCCATGGGCAGGGACACCTCACACTATCCTAGGTTGCTTAAGGTCTTATCCAACCTGGCCCTGAACACTGCCAGGGTTGGGGCATCCACAGTCTCCCTGGGCAACCTGTGCCAGTGTCTCACCACCCTCACAGTAAAGAATTTCTGCCTAATATCTAATCTAAATATTCCCTCTTTCAGTTTGTACGCACTTCCCCTTGTCCTGTCCCTACAGTTCCTGACAAAGTATCCCTCTCCTGCTTCCCTGTAGCCCCTTCAGACACTGGAAGGTGCTGTGAGGTCCCCACACAATCTACTCTTCTCCAGGCTGAACAGCCACAACTTTCTCAGCCTGCCTTTGTAGGGGAGGTGCTCCAGTCTCCTTATCAACTTTGTGGCCTCCTCTGGCCTTGCTCCAACAGTTCCATGGCCCTCTTGTGTTAGGAACACCAGAATTGTGCACAGCACTCCAGGTGGGGTCTCAGGAGAGCAGAATGAAGGGGGAGAATCCCCTTCTTCGACCTGCTGGCCACGCTCCTTTCCATGTAGCCCAGGATTCTGTTGGCTTTCTGGGCTACCAGTGCTCACTGCCAGCCCATGGTGAGATTTTCATCAACCATCAAGTACTACTCAGAATGTGTGAGAGACCTTCCAAAGATTAGAGGCTGCATAGGCAGTTTGGACAGAAGTGAATACAAGTGAAAAATACCCGTAGGATCCTAAAGACAGAGGCAGAAACCAAACGAGACCATCCTCCATTCAACCTCCTGTCAAAAACAGGGTCAGCACCAGATAGGTTCCTCAGGACCTTGTCCAGTATCTAGGAATATCTCCAAGGATGGCATTCCACCCTCTGTTTATTAGTATTTATTTTAGGTGCATTAAGGACATTGACATGAACTGAAGAAGAGCATTGGCTAAACAAATCTATGGTTTATGAAATATGAAAAAAGTAAGCTGTTAAAAGTTTTATTGATACTTTTCTCAGCAGAATATTAGGAATTCTACAGAATACTAAGATGTTCCTAAAAAATTAGTAATTCTTCATGATTAAACTCCCGCCCAGGTACCGAAACCACAAAAGTTCGAAGCTAAAGGTGGAAAGACATACTTTTCATACTCCTCCTATCTTTTTGAGAGGGGAGAATAAACAGAACACCTGAAAGCTAAAACTTATTTAGGTTTTACATTTTCTTCTCTCTCTTTTACATTAGTTCAGTTTGAGTTTCAAAGAGATGGGTAATTAAACTCGGTATGCTAATGAATTATAAAAATGAACAAAACCAGTCTCTCAAGTAGAAGAGATGTGAAGGATGACATCAGCTGAACTGGCAGCTGTTGGCCAAGCCAAGGTTCAATGCAGTATATCCACCTGCAGCCCAGCAACAGGCGGGCTCCCAGCAGGACCAGACCATGGGCAGAACGGTAACAAAGCGCCCAAAATATTTGGGACAGATGGATTTCAGTGTTACATAACAGAATGACCTGAATACTTGTTCAGCACTGCTACTCAGCTGTTCACTGCCCATCTCCTCTCAGAGGGCTCCCACAAACTGCTGAATGTGTTGACACACGAGTGCTCGTGAGCCTCAGTGGCTTCCTGCATTCCTGTGGGGCCTGACTGGCACTGGGCAGGGATGAGCAACACCACCTATTACACAAGAACATCTACACACACTAATGTTCTACATTCCTATTTCTCTCCCCCTAATAATGGCCTAACCAATAAATTTGACTCAAAGTTTTGAATAGCTTCCCAGCCAAAAACTGTGCATGGTATTCCTGGGTGACCAGAACGTAACTGCATGATTCATTTTTATTTCCCACAAATGCTGTTTCCTTCTCCATATTCCAAATTACTTTAGACTATCACCTCCCTGCCCAAACCCCAAATGTTTGAACAGTTATCTGGTTCAAAAGCATAAATTAAACAGTGTGAATTAAATGAATTGCATTCAGATTGTTGTATTTGTATCATACTCCAAGTATCCTTCCCCGGCTCTGATTCTCCTCTAAAGCGTACTCTAAAGGAAGTACTGAGTAACAAGTTTCTTTTTTCCACAGGCAGACACCTTTACATTGCTCAAATCACATCACAGCTGTGCAGAACAAGTGTTATTTATACAACAGCCATGCTGATCAAATAAAAACAAAACCCCACAGATACTTGTACATACATTAATATTTTACTTCTGAATAACAAATGCATGAATTTTCAGTACAATTCTAGTGGAGGCACATTAATAATTTTAACAATTCAGGTTTGTAAGAACAGAATATTTAAAAACACTATCTGTAAAAATCTACAGGTTTAAAAGAACTTAGTTCTAGTAACTAAAATAGTCACATTCTTTAAATGTTCAAAAGCCAGCATCTTCCACTGTCCCTTGATATTAATTTTTTAAAGATACAAATGAATGTGCTGCTTTGAAAATCTGAGATATCTAAATACATGAATTCTTCCTTTAGCCAAGTGTAAGTAATTCTTACCTACTGCAGTAAGTCCTTCAGATATTGAGGTCAGAATAAGATGTGAGATTCCAAACTGGTAATGAAACTCATATGATCTTGGGTCAGACATGCCAAAAGTGGGTAATAAGACTGGTTTAGTTTTTAATATTGCTGAAAAAAAGAGTACACATTCATAGAAAATATAGATATTACCACTGACTAATGTTAACAACATTAACAGATGACAGAAGAATGATCTTAGAGATTTTATGATATGATAAATTTAAAATGAGTCAATGAATCAGAATATTTATAGAGCTAAAATATTTTCCTGTCTTCAGTAGATTTCAACTTTTCAAATTTATCATTGGATGTAACTTGCTATCAGTTTAAAATACGCTCAGGATAGTCCGAAAATGCTACAGTGCTTCACCATCCAACATGCTGTCAGTCTGGGAGGAGCAGGATGATGTTCTGCCCAGGACTCTGGGCATAGCTGACCTTCTGCAGGAAATCTCACTAAGATTTATCATGGATTTCCCCAAACCATCTCAGAGATAGACTTTTTTTGCTGCTTATGTGAGCTCCTATAACAGCCTTTGCTCAGGCAAAGACACCTGCTTGAACGCAGCCCAATCTCCAACCCGTATTTTCCTCTTAAGGACTCTTGTTTCGGGAATTAAGTGCTGGGTAGCTGGGAATGTGCAGTTAGGCCAATACACCAACTTTAATTCAGAGCAACTTTTCACTTCCATGGACTTTCTTTATGTGGCAAAAATAAATCTGGGTATTAACGATTTTTAACTATCCCAGATTTGTCCCTTTCTGCAAGACAGTGACAGCTCTGGACTAAAGAATCATGAAGAAAAAGGCCCAGTTCAAATTCAGGCTGATATTACCCAAGATCTGTTGTCTTCCCACAAAGAAGTGGGAATATGGTAGACTTTAATTTTAAACTTTTCCATTTTATTGGGAATACACAGTGACAATTTGCAGATTGAAACTAATTGTTGAGTAGCTGGATATATGAGGATGCTTTACAGTGCACGCAGACAATGAAACGGGTTTGCAAGTATAGAAAAGGAAAAAAACCTGCATTTCTCTCTTTTACAAGCCTAGTGAGAGTTCTGGAAAAGCTCCCATTTCACAAGGCACTTCAGTCATACCTGCGTTTCAGATGTCACTATATAAATAAATTCAAGTAATTGAACTGAAAACTCTGTTTGAGTTGTTCTGGATCCCTCTGTCTCATTATACCAATACAAAGCCTGTGGTGGTATTATTTCATGTTTCACATAAAGACTCCCAAGATGAGAAATTGCTTGCTAGCAGGTCACTGTGGGATACTGAAAGCAGCGTTTTGACAAAGGCCTGAAGTACATTGTCAAAGTGGTTGTCCCTGTACAACTTGAAGATGCCGAAGCTGACAGAATTTCCACATAAGGCAGAGTAACAGATGGAAATGCCCTTGAGTTTCAGTGGATAAACCTGATCTTTTGACAAAGTCCCAACAGAGAGGATCTGATTAGCTGTTTTCATAGAAAGAAAGAAAGAAAGAAACTTAAATAAGCAGCTGCAAATCTAAAATATTTTGATGGCACTATCTAAAATTATTTTTGTCTTTATTTTCATTACTATTTGGAAGAAAAATTGTTTTTGCATTTGATGTAAAAGATCTGTTAAGTAAGCATGATTACAGCTTAAAAGTCATTAAACAATTAGTATGCAAAATTTAAAATACAGCTCTGGAATTCCCATTATTGAGGTACGGCCAGATCATGACTGGGTCTATGAGCATGAATTCCTTAATCTGAACAGAGTTGCAACACATGGTTTTATAGTTTCTCAAGCTGCAGCAAAGCCTAGTTTTGATCCATTACCATAATGCTCTCTTGGGATGCTTGCTAATGTATACACACACTAAATATATTCCTCAGAAAACAAATATGTTCATTACAAAAGCCTCTATTTTACCAGTCACAGATGGGAAAAACTTTTTAATTCAACTCCATGTTTGTAATGTAAAAATAACAGCTACTGGTAAATATTTGTTGTTGCTATTAACAGGCAATAGTAACTTTGGACCCACCGTGCAACAGATCCCACTGCAATCCCCTGTACAAATCTCCATGTTCACAAGGTCTCATTACCAAGTTTTCTAAGTATCTTTAAAACAACATAATGCTCATCTACACAGCACCGCAGAGTGAGTTTGTCTTCCTGACAGTTTTTTTTTAAACCTGAAGCAATTAATGACAGTGAGCAAAACAAGTGGTATGAGCCCAGCAAACCGAGGCGCTTGTCCTGCCGCGACGCAGCCTGGCTCGGCCCACCCCACCTGATGCCAACCTTGACAGGCTTGGCCTGCACAGAACCCAAGTGCCAGGTCTTTGCTTTGTTACTACTCATCATTCCTGGTAATTTTAATTAGTGGAAAATAACACAGAGCTGTACATTTTAAAAAACATTTCTATAATCAACAGTACAACAAACGAGACATTTGACTCGTCCGCTCTCGGTGTGTAATCGCCTTGTCCTGGCTCTGATCTCAACTTGGATCAAGGAGCAGTGAGAAAAGTGAGCATTACCTGTTTACAATCCAAACACTGCCAGCTGGGAAAGGGAGTTGTGATGGTGCAGTTTTGATTTGAGGCAATTAAAAGAATGCCCTAAAACCTTGCCTGAGATGACACAGATGTAGTATCATTTAGTACATATTGAAGCCTAATATTAAACTGGGTCAGTCTCTACACAGCTCTCCTTTCTGCCCATGCAAATTTCCACTTGCACATCATCTACCTAACTCATTTTAATTCTTTCCTTAATTCTACTGATTATCAGCAATGATGAATTTATATCATACAATTAGAAAAATGAGGGGGAAAAATCTTGTTTCTAAACACCTAATGCATCAAAGTACCACCCATTTGGTGTCATTTGATGCAAGAATGGAAAGACATAAGTTACTGTTTAAAACATTCATGTTTTTCAACACTTCTAGCAAGTACAAGGTAATTTATCTATCAGGTTGTAAAGGAAAAGTAGATTTACAAAAAAGGGCTGGGAGTATGATCAGGGATTGCATAGAAGAAGAAATTAGGGTCTGTAAGAAGACAGAATGGTGAATTAGAATTATGGAAGGGAAAAGAAAAGCAAATATTTAGCTAGGAAAGGTGGTCACTTAAAATCAAAATCGAAATCAAGCCTTCTTAATAAAACAACAAAAAATTTATTAATGAGAATATAGAGTGGTTTTGACATTTGTAAATGGTCATACGAGCACCTCTCTTACCCAAATGCTGCAGTGTAACTGGGGAAGAGGTACCACCCCAGTGACTGCTGCTGCACAGTAATTAGCTCCAAATGGTGTTAAATCTCTGTTATACTAAACAGGACTGGTTTCCAAAACATCTTTGAAAAGTAAAAACATAGCAGAAAAATAGAAAAGTCTCCTAGTGTACCTGGATATTATTTTAATACTTTACATTACTGTGAAATTACACTTACAAAAAATTAAATTCCATTTAGCTTCTCACAGTGCAGTATTTTAATATATCCTAGACAGATCATCTTAATTAGCATTAACCTTTTTGACAAGTCCTGTTATAGTTGTTGAGAAAAATCTGTGAATTCCAAATTCTATGAAAAAAATAAAATTAAATACAAAATTCTGTCTGTGAGATCAAGTGGGAAGGCACACACTGTTTTTAGAAACCACTGTTCAATGGTACAATTCTCAGGGCACAAACGGGACAGAAAGGTAAGAGTGCTGTAAACTAACCTGAGCTGGTCTTCACTATTAAATTCACTGCTGCAAATCCCAACTTCACTAACACAAACACATACCTGGCTTCAGAAATGACCAAAGTACTGGATCCAAGAAAGGAACAGCCTTGGGTTTGTAGCTGAGCTGTCCAAGCATGACATCCTACAGTCCCTGGTCAGTCAAGTACTTGGTGTAATAAGCAACAACAGATGGCAAGAGCTTAGTAGTTTGTCAAGAAGGCAATTATGTACTTAACATGGAAATTAACTGGACTTCAATGTGAAAAATGGATGATGAGAAAAGAAGCTGGAAAAACCTGAGGAATCCCTCAGCCTGGGAACATGAATTCTAGGAGGTATCCACTAGTGTTCATATTCCATCATTTTTATTATTTCACTAAAACCTCACCCAATAATTAAAACTCACTGATGAGCACAAAGGACTGACTGTGGGAAGGCCCAGCCCTGGCAGCGGGGCAATTCGAGGCCTGTCCCTCCTCAGTGAAACACTGAGCAGAGTTTGGGTCTAGTGTGACATTAAAAGCTGCTTTTTGCAAGTGGACAGAGTACACAGAGAACTGTGCTGTGTTCATGCACTCATTTTAAAAGGGCTTAAGAGTGGGAACTGCTGATTTCAAATGAGCAGCAGAGGTGAAAGACCAGGCGGTGCCGGGTCCCAGTGCGATGCAGAGGTTGCAGTGCTCCAACACAGTAGCGGTTTAGCATTAGCTATTGAAAAAAAATATGAAATAAAGTGCCATGCTTGACTAGACAAAAAAACAATGATCTACTTGCAACATTTAGCAAGAGCTTCAGGGGAATATTTTTACACGCTATGGATACTACTGAACATAAGGTAATTTACTGAGGTACTTGGAATCAGGTCAAGAACAACTCCTCAGCTACTGAGGATACACTTACATTTATAATCCCTGTAGTGGAAGACCAAAATATAATTTTATAAACTGCTATTGTTAAAAGAAACAATTTGAAGAAATTAAATCAACACAAAAGTGACATTTGACATGTTGAATTTAAAAATTGTGTTTGAAATTCATAGCTCCTGTCAAAACAAAAACTCTGTAGAGACTAATCAGGGCAGTCCCAGTGTTACTACTGAGTTAAAAATCAAACAAAAAAATCCAACTTGCAACAATTTCTTCTTAATGTGGGAGAAATTGCATCACACAATCTTAAAACATCCTGACTTTCAAAATTCTCAATAATTTCCTTTAATCCAACTTTTTGCCCTGCATTTGACAGCAATGCCACTCACAAAAATTGTGTACTCTGAGCCTCAGAGGTAATACAAAATTCTGACAGGAATAAGAAAAGGATTTTTAAAGATATTGATGAAACTGCTGAAGAGGAAATAGAGTCTTGAATTTGGCTGTGAATTTTAATGAGTTAATCACTAAAAGACTCCTTAGTACAACCAAAGAAGCTGGAAAAAAAAAATGTGCATATGCAGAGGGAAGTACTGAGCCAGCCAACAGCAGGCTGGGCTGCTCTGCCCGCAGAGAACATCCCCACGCCTCAGCACCCCACAGCTCAGCACTCCAGGGCCCTCCCAGCTCCTTCTCTCACTCCCCCCCAGACACGGGAGCACGTCAGGACACGCAGCTTTCCTTTCAGCTCTCCTCCTTAATTGCTTTTACAGAGAAGCTATAACACAAAATGATTTCCTTATGGTTGAGTTTCATTTCAGCAGGGTTTGTTCTAGACTTCAGACCAATAAGCACTTTGGATAATAATACAACTAAATCATATTTTAACATGTGTGAATTAGATGAAGACTTTGGTGAGATTAAACAAAGGTTGTGAAAATGTATCACATTTATAGAGAAAAGTGGTTTTTGCCTTTTCCCCTCTCCTATCTTTATTATTCACCACTACCCATAACGATGGTTGAATGTACAACTTCTAGGCATTTGGAATGCTGGGCAGTGAAAAGAAGGGGGCAGACAAAACAGGAAAATGTGAATTACAAAGATGAGAGCTTCAAGAAATGATTTTTTTAAAGCTTCCACAACAACAAAATGTGCATAAAACCTCTCAAATCAGCCCAATGAGCATGCCCAAGGTAAATTTGCCAAAAGAAACTGATTCCAAAACATGAGTCCGTAATGAAGTGCAATATATTCTGGAACCACTGTCACAGGAGAGATGAGGGCAGACAACACAGCTGAGAGCACTAAGCACTCCACTGGCAAGCTCAGCTGCTGCTGAGAAATACCTGTTAGACAGCAAGAATCAGTTTAACCAAAATTTTGAAGAAGACCCGTTATCTCATGAAGTTGGCACTGAATGGATTACCACACTAAGTTTTGAAATACATGTTATGGAAGCAATTTAAAGCTCATTAGAAATAATTGTGTCTGGCTACTGGAAAATGTGGTAAAATTTAATCCACATCCAAATGCTACCTGGGCTGTGAGCACAGGAAATTGTTTTGTGCTACTGTGGCTAACCTCATCGCTGACCCTGAGCAGTAACTGCTACAGCAGCTGAAAGCTGAAGCAAAATTAAAAACTTACATCAAAGTATATCATGACAGAATGTAGATAAATAAAAGCAGCATATTGAAAATATTATTTTTATGTCAGCCTCTTCTAATGAAAGAGAAGAGGTTTACTAAAATGTAAAGAAACCACAAAACAAAAATGGATGGTCCCAACATGCATTGCATTGTTCCTATACCACTGGGAGTTCAAAAACATATAGTAAGGAGACTTTTACATGCAGAATTAAAAGTGAAATATATTGGGGATGAAGAATAGGGAACTACACTATTCCAACTCCTTTCAACTCTCCTCTCAGATGTTTATTTTAAATCACTCTATCACTCCCTCAGACCGGCTCCAGCCGTAATGGACAAGACACAACAGCCCTTGCCAAGAAGCTGTGGAGCCCTAACAAGGTTAATTGTCTGACTAAGTGCATCCTACGCCAGGCTTCCCATCTTTTGAACAGATAGCATTTGCAAAGGCATCTTAGACCTGTCTGCAGCACTGTATCAGTGATAAATGAGCAGGAGAGGACACACCAGTACTTCCCTGATCACACAGCAGAACTAAACACTCGCTGAAGTGCTCCTTTTCAAAACTACAAAAAAAATTCATCTCTCAAATTTTATTCCCTGACAACTGACAATACTTAGCATATCTTAAAAATCAGCATTGTGGATTTTTTTTCTGATTTGCACTCAAATATATGAAACCCCTATATGCTCGTCTAAGGAGAAAAGAGGCTACGCTTTAATCTAGCATTGAAGATTTCAGCATCCATACTCACAAGCTATTGCCTACATTCCCACCCCCAACACAGTTCTACCTTTTTCTTCTCCTTCTATTTTCAGCCTAAGCACAGACCTCACAGCTCATAGAGAAAGGAAGTGGATGTACCACTCAGACACAAATAGACATCACAAACTGGGGCAAAACTGAACATGGAAAGAAAGTGGCACACTAGATGACCAAATGTTTGTTTCAGAGTCATTTCCACAGTAATTTCCTGTACACAATAGCACAGGGCGCACATAGAACAAAGCCACATATAAATTCTAGCTGATTTTCATCACCTGAAGAAGGCCATATGTGTGAAGTATCTGTATTTATCCAAAACTGCTTGGATTGGTGTAGTCCAGACTTAGGAAGAATGAACATGATGTCAGCAATCACCACTGTGCCCTGATGTGGGTGAGAAGAATCACCTGATGCCACCTCACTTCAGACACTAATTCCTTGCCTAAGTATTGACTTGACAGAGGCATATCTCAGACCACATTTTTATGTACCTGTAGGTTTACACAGCAAGAAAACTCCCAGTTAACTTATGACTTAACCAGAAATGTTTGTGGTTTATTTGGTGCAAATGAAATCTCTGTAAACACTTTTACATGCATTTTCTGTACATCATTACATGTGAGAGGAGGAAAAATCCTGTTCTAAAACAAATTTAAATTTCACTTCCCAATGAAAGCACAATACAATTAAGCCATATTTTTGTTTATTGATTTATGTTATGTTCTTCTCAAAAAAAGGAACAACCAGGCTAGGCTGTCTGTAGGAGAGGGACCAAGTCTTTCCCTACAGAGCCAGAGGCTGGAAACTCTCACTGTCAAGGGCACAGCAAGAAGGACAGGTGAGAGGTAACAAGCAGAGCTGGAAGCCTGATGTTCAGACAGGAGTTTGCCAAGAGGAGCAAACACAGCCAGTTCTCCAGGTGGTGGAAAGAAGAACTCGGGGATAAGAGGAACCTGGACAGAGTCTATAGCAACCCACTTGGTCAGTGGACTAACTGAGACAGAGACTGAAAGGAAGGATCTTCCCACAAGGACAGTGTGATGAAAGAAAGAGATGTTCACTTCTATTTATCCCCCTCTGCCTCATGCCATCACTTTGTGTTTCTCTCAGTTTAAAAGGTAATTATTATCATATAGATTTCAGTCAAATCTATTCTGAGTTAAAGTGTCTCTTTGATCAGCTCGGAGGAGCTCATCATAAGCTGCAGGCATATACAAGAGGTCTGTCTGACTTGCTAAGATAAATGGGCACATACTGTCTGTTGTCATCGCCTGACATTTGCTGCATCTTCTATTCTCTCTTCTAATGCTTCAGCCATAAAATCATGCTGAGTGTGAAAATCTCAACTATTTATGCAATTTTAAGTTACTTGCAGGAATGGTACAGAAGGAAACTTAAAAACTGAGCCCAAGGATTAGAAGGCATGTATGGATTAATTCTTTTATCTGAATCACACAATTTTTCAGAACTGGAAAATTCTGGGGCTGGAAACGTTGTTCAAGAACACAATTTTATGATCATCATTTGTTTTACTTGTTTAGTTTTCCTCAGGTATCTGCCAAGATTACCCAGGCTTAAAAGACAAATACATTTAAAAAAGGGCATAGAGTATTATGGATTACAGTTTTCATTAAAAGAACAACTATTAAAGATTTTCAAGAAGGCATTTGAAAAGAATGCAAAATCCCTTTATATCAGTATTTTTATAGGAATTTGTATGTTCAAAAGATCATACATAGTTAATGAATCCCTACAGTGGATTTCCAGAAGTTCTTTCTGTACACTGGAACAAAAATCTCATAAACTACTACTTGGTGATAAAAGCTCAAAATGTTAACAGCAATTATTCAAAGCTGATCAATTGTAGCATCTTGAAATAC